GCATTCCTGAGTGAAGATGCCAGGTATGCATGGGGTCCCCTGGGGCTGCCCTGTGCGGTGGTGGCGGGTGGGTGCTGCGTGCCGGGCTGCCTGGCCAGCCTCCCTTTGCCTCCCCTGCAGCCCCCCGGCCCCGAGGAGCTTCCATGTTCCAGCGAGGGCAGCCGTGAGAACCTGCTGCACCAGGCCATGCAGAACTCTGGCATTGTCCTTGAGCGGGTCCCTGGGGAGGAGGGAGCCCTGGAGCCAGCCCCTCCCACTGTGTCCAGTCCCCAGCCCCTGGGAGATGGTCCCCCAGAACTGCCGCTGCTGGAGGTGGAACAGGTGGAGACAGTAGGTGCCTGCGCTGCTGGCGTGCCCCTTCTGGGGGGCTGGACCTTGGGTACAAAGTCACCATGCTATCCTGGCCGCCACCAGCCTCCTCGTTGTGCTCCCTGCAGTGGAAAGTTACATCACTGTCTGCAGTGACTTTGTTCCCTGATCTGTTTATCGCCTTCTTTGGGCCCATTATGGAGCCTCCCAGGGTCAGGGTGCCTCGGTCTGGCCTCCACGGTGCTGCTCGGGCCCAGCCTGCAATGGGTAATAGAGGTGTGCTGTGGTCCCCCAGCAGGTGGCCAGTGAGGCCTCAGCTGTGCCCAGGACCCACCCGTGCCCTCAGTGCAGTGAGACCTTCCCAACGGTGGCCACCCTGGAGGCCCACAAAAGAGGCCACGCAGGTGAATGGCAGGATGGTGGGGGTACTGGGCAGTGGATGGCTGTGGGTAGCCAGGAGGGGCTCTCGGGTGTGCTGTGGATGGTCAGGGTTGCCTGTGGGCAGGTGGCTAGGGTGGCGCCCTCGGGTGGTGGTCCCGGCCTGACACGGAGTGTGGCCCCAGGGCCGAGGCCATTCACATGCCCGCAGTGTGGCAAGGCCTTCCCCAAGGCCTACCTGCTCAAGAAGCACCAGGAGGTACACGTGCACGAGCGCCGCTTCCGCTGTGGGGACTGTGGGAAGCTCTACAAGACCATCGCCCACGTCCGCGGCCACCGGCGTGTCCATTCAGATGAGAGGCCCTACCCCTGTCCCGAGTGTGGCAAGTGCTACAAGACCAAGGTGGGTCCCTGATCCCCCACCTGCGGGCTCCCTGCTCCCTAAGCCAGATTTGTCCCTTGTTCCGTGCCCCCAGACCTCCCTCCTCACCCCTCACCTGACAGCCTGCTCAGTCCTAACCAGGGCCCACAGAGGGGGCTGGGAGAGCCAAGGCCAAGCTGGCCCTGATGGTGGGTCTCCACAGAATGCCCAGCAGGTGCACTTCCGGACACACCTGGAGGAGAAGCCACACGTGTGCCCGTTCTGCAGCCGAGGCTTCCGGGAGAAGGGCTCGCTGGTGCGGCACGTGCGGCACCACACGGGCGAGAAGCCCTTCAAGTGCTACAAGTGTGGCCGCGGCTTTGCTGAGCATGGCACACTCAACAGGCACCTGCGTACCAAAGGTAGGGCCGGGAGGTGGCAGGGACGGGGTGGGGGGCCGTGGCCAGCCAGCACTGACCGAGCTCCCTGCCACAGGGGGCTGCCTGCTGGAGGTAGAGGAGTTGCTGGTGTCCGAGGAGAGCCCCGCAGCGGCCGCCGCCGTCCTCGCCGACGACCCGCACACCGTGTTGGTCGAGTTCTCATCCGTGGTAGCCGACACCCAGGAGTACATCATCGAGGTGGGTATGGGGCCACCAGGGTTCGGATGGGGCCTGGGGCGGGCAAGGCTGACTTCTGATCCTCCGTCCAGGCCACTGCGGATGATGCAGAGACCAGCGAAGCCACGGAGATCATCGAGGGCACCCAGACAGAGGTGAGGGGCTGGGGGATGGGCGGGGTGGTGTGGCCTGGCACCCTCACCAGACTCATGGGCTGAGCCTTGAGCCACCCACAGGTGGACAGTCACATCATGAAGGTAGTGCAGCAGATCGTGCACCAGGCCAGCGCCGGGCACCAGATCATCGTGCAGAATGTGACCATGGACCAGGAGGCAGGGCTGGGCACAGAGGCAGCTGCTGCCGACACCATCACTATCGCCACCCCCGAGAGCCTGACGGAGCAGGTGGCCATGACGCTGGCCTCGGCCATCAGCGAGGGCACTGTGCTCACGGCCCGCTCGGGTACAAATGGCACCGAGCAAGCCACTGTGACCATGGTTTCATCGGAGGACATTGAGATCCTGGAGCATGCGGGCGAGCTGGTCATCGCCTCGCCGGAGGGCCAGCTTGAGGTGCAGACAGTCATCGTCTAACACGGGCGCCTGCAGGGTCCCGGGGGGCTGGGCTGGGGCAGGGGGTGAGGACCCCGAGCGCCCTGCCCTTTCCTGCCTGGCCGAGTACAGAGAAGATGGGCATAGAACTCAGGCGTTCAGAGGAGATGCGGAAGTGTAAATACACAGAGTTTTTGGTTGCTTTACAATAAAACATGAAAACCCGCCGCTTGTGATGTTGCGGCAGTGGCAGCCTCAGGGGCTGGTGCCACTGCCCTGGCAGGTTCCTCTGTGGCAGCCCCTGCCCGCCCAGGGATCCCAACAGGGCTGGCGGAACCTTGGCAGTGTGTGGGTGTCATTGGTATGTGGACAGGCAGCCTCCTGTTGCTGCCTTGCCCAGCTGGAGCTGTGACCCCAGCTTCCTGAGGCCCATGGAGGTGGGTGGGAGGGGATGCTGCTTCCTAGCCTCCAACCCTGGGGCCTCCCTGGGGCCGGGGAATGAGACTGGGAGACCCAGGAGTCTCGGCTTTTTACCTTGAGGTGACAGCACGTGGAGAAGCAGCAGGAGATGCTGGGCCACAAATGGGGCTGGTCTTTCCTGATTGTGTTGACTTCGTTTCCCTGAAGAGATGCACCTTGAGGGAGATTCTGGGTGACCTAGTCTCTGGGGGGCAGGGACAGGAGCAAGACCTGGACCGTGGGCATGTCTGGTCCTCTTTCCCAGTCTTGATGCAGCTCTTGGGCTGGCAGGGCCTTCTGAGTCCCTGTTCTAACAGGCTTGGGGGCACCAGAGCAGTCTCAAGGTGGATCCCCTACCGCCTTGCCCTGCGGGGGCGGGCGTGTGTGTGGTCTCTGTGGGAATGGGAGCTAGGAGTTACAGTGTCCAATTCGTGGAGGGGGCGGGACCCAGTGCAGTCCCGGCCCCTCCCTGGACCAGGGCTTCAAATACTCACGGAGCTGGGGCGCCAGAGGTGCTGCTAGACCAAGCCCTTGCAGTCTGTCCTGTGCTGCAGACACACCCCCAGCTGGGACCTCTGACTTCTACTGGGACCCAGATCCTAAGCCTCTGACACAGCCAATCCACATCCCTCAGGTGAGTCTGGGGGGGGGCGGGGTACTGAGCCGGGGGCTGGATGTGAATGGAGTCTCAATATTTGGGCCTCAGTTTCCCCACGAAGGAGAACGGCCACGGCCGTAAGCCCAGCCCACCACCTTGGGGAGACCTGGAGAGTGGCAGGGGGAGGATATGCCTTCCTGCCAGCCACCAATGGGGGGCAGAACCTGCCCGGCCCCCGCGTCCCAGCAGCCGGGACTGAGAAGGGTGGCCTGGTGTGTCCGATTCCATGTCCGCGCTCACGCGGGCTGTGTCTGTCTCTCTAAGCCCGCCTGCTTTGCGCCATGGGCGGGCCCCTGGCCTTACTGGCTGCACTCTGGGCGCTAGAGGCTGCTGGAGACGCGGCGCTGCGCATCGGAGCTTTCAACATCCGGAGCTTCGGCAACAGCAAAGTGTCGGACCCAGCCGGCAGCGGCATCATCGCGCAAGTGAGGCTGGGGACCCTGGGCGGGGTTGCAGCTGGGCTCCGCGGGCTAATTTGCCGCGCACACGTGACCCCGCACCTGCCGGCCCCTCCCCCAGATCCTGGCTGGCTATGACATCACGCTGGTGCAGGAGGTGCGGGACTCCGACCTGAGCGCCGTATCCGCGCTCATGGAGCTGATCAACAGGTATGGCGGGCAGGGCCCAACGTGGGCCCAGGTCTCGAGCGATGCCTTGACCCCGGGCTTGGCCGGTGTCTCCGCAGCGTGTCCAGGCACGAGTACAGCTTCGTGAGCAGTAAGCCCCTGAGTCGGGACCAGTATAAGGAAACATACCTGTTCGTCTACAGGTGAGGGGTGGGGATGCGGGGGAGGGGTGCGCGGGGCAGGAGGGGCCCCACTTGGGGCGCCCACCCACCCTCTACACCCAGGAAGGACACGGTGTCAGTTGTGGACACGTACCAGTACCTGGACCCGGAGGACGCCTTCAGTCGTGAGCCTTTCGTGGTCAAGTTCTGGGCACCCGGGTCAGGTGAGGCCCTGCCCGTCCCGCAGGCCCCGCCCCAGCCCCTGACATCTACCTCCTGCAGCTGCCGAGGAGTTAGTGTTGATTCCGCTGCACGCGGCGCCGCACGAAGCTGTAGCCGAGATCGACGCGCTCTACGATGTGTACCTGAACGTGATAGACAAGTGGGGCACCTACGTAAGCCCCTATGTCCATACGGCCCCGCCCTGCCCCACGGCCCAGGGTCCTGGAGGTGCGCCCTGGGGGTCGGCCACAGGCGTGAGGCTCTGCGCATGCGGCCCCTCCCGCAGCCTCAGACCCAGTTCCGCGGTGCCCCACAGGACATGTTGTTTCTGGGCGACTTTAACGCCGACTGCAGCTACGTGCAGGCTCAGGACTGGCCGGCCATCCGCCTGCGCAGCAGCGAGGTCTTCAAGTGGCTCATCCCGAACAGCGCCGACACCACGGTGGGCAACTCAGACTGTGCTTACGACTGCATCGTGGTCTGTGGTGCCCGCCTGCGCAGCAGTCTGAAGCCCCAGTTGGCCGCCGTATAAGACTTCCAGGAGGAATTCGGCCTGTACCAGGCTCAGGCGAGTGCTGGGCCCAGTAGGAGCAAGGCCCAACCTCAGTACACCTGGCGCTCCCCTCCCTGTACTACTGTTTCTAGAAAAGGCCCTTAGAGGTTCAGTTGGGGCTGAATGGAACAAATCTGGGATGGCAGTACAGGAAGCTCTTTACCTCCCCAGAGTGGGGCCCCGAGGCCATGCTCCCACCCAACCCACACAGCTGGGTTGGATAGCCCAGGCCTCGCTGGTCTGTTCCTCCACCCCCAGATGCAGTGGTTTGTGGACACCCAGTGGGCCCCTTCCTGGGGGGAGATGGGGCAGTTTTCTGGGGTGGAGCCTGAGGGAGGACTGGCTGCTCAGCAGGGCCTCAGAGTTGGCCCCTTCTCCCTCCAGGCCCTGGCCATCAGTGACCATTTTCCTGTGGAGGTGACCCATCAAGTCCCACTGACAGCCCTGAAGCCTGGCCAGGGCAGGCTGCCTGCAGACTCTGGCCACAAGGAGGAAGCCCCACAGGGCTGCAGGTAGGGTCAACTGGGCCTGGACAAGTGATGGGACTACTCCAAGCCTGTTTCCCCATCATGAAATGGGCTGCCACCACTACCTCTAAGGTTGTGAGAAGCACCTCGTAGAGTACTGGGCACACAGCTGAGCTCAATAAACAGCAAACACTCAGCCAGGACCACACACACATGTTGGCTCTGACGCCTTCATGTCCTTTCTTAGGACTCAGCTCTTCTGGGGCACAAACCTTCGTCTTGCAGCCAAGCAGGTCCCCGGTCCCAGCCCATTTAGGGGACAGGGACAGCCTGGCCTGCCCATTCCACATCCTGCTGGGAACTGACCACCTCCAGACCAGGCTGGCTCCAGAAGGCAGCTCCTGTGCTCACTGGCTGAAGCTCCCTGCTCGCTCTTTGTGCAAACTAAATGCTTTCAAGCACCTGTACTGAGTGCAGCTGGGGGTAAGTGCTCACACAGGTAGGGTGGATGTGCAAGGCCAACCTCCCAGTCTTCAGTGTTCCTCCTATGGCCCCGGTTCCCAGGCCTGCAGGTCACTCACAGGCACTTGTGTACGAGGGTCCTTTCCTACCCAGCACTGCAGTTGGCGGGGGTGGGGGGGGAGGTCAAGAAGGCTGGCCCCCTGCAACCAGCCGGCTGGCGGCGCTGGGACATGTGGAGAGCCTCCTCACTGGTGAGCAGGCAGGTTGGGTTAAGTTCCTGTCCACAGAACCTGAACAGCTCACAGTGGTACAGCCCCTTCAAAGGTGCCTTCCTGGTAGCTTCTTCCTCAGGAGCCCTGGGCTGGGTAAGGACTCAGCAGGGAGGACAGTGGCCTGCACCCTGAGTAAACCCATCACCTGAGGATTGGGAACAAGCAGAACTGGGGTACACAGTGTAACTGACAGGGGCCCGATGAGGTTTCTGGTTTTCGAAGCATCTCACCTTTGGCAGGATTTAACTGGCCTGAATTGTATGGGAGGGAAAAACCTTTGTTTCAAGAATCTGAACAAGCTTTTCTTGTTAGATCTTTCTAAAGTCAGATTTAGGACACCTGTAATGTAAAATGCCTCCCTCCTCCCTCTCCAAGTCACCCAATTTCTCTGAAACTCATACAAGCTTTCCATCCAAACGAAAAACCATGGCGGCCCAAGGGCTTTTCCCTTTTCCTTTTCTTGCGTGGCTTGCCAGGGCCCACAACTACCTGGCCTTATGCCTCCAGCAGTCAGGCATCCCACCAGCCAGGGATGGGAAACTCAAGGACTTTATTCTGCTCTGGGAGAGGAGACACTCAACGGTGACATCGCTGAGGTCCAGAAGGGTGCCATCTACCAGTTTATGATTCCCAAATCAAGACACTGCTTGCCAGCTGTGCCCATCTGCCCACCCGCCAGGCACAAAGGGTACTCGTGAGTGGTAACAGGCCTTAGGACAATGGGTACAAGGAACAGGCCTTTTAGGGAGATGAGCAAAACAAAGAGCTAAAAGTACTTTTAAATTGGAAAACACCTTTAAATCCCTTGGAACCATAGGGCCCCCAGAAGGGTGCAAACGGCTAAAAACCCTGCATGGGCAGCCCAGCCCTTAGCCTTTCTTTTGTTTGAGCTTTTCTAAGTACATCTGCAGGGACTTCTGGATGGAGTCTCTGGAGATGAAACTGACAAAGTTCTGGATGTCCGCATCGCGCTGCTTCACCAGGCGATCTACCGTGGTCTTTCGCATCATGTTCTTGGTCAGCTGTCGAGCGTGATCTAAAGAAGATGGGTCCCACCTGTGAAAACCCATGCTCTGCTCCGGGACAGTGGTATTCCCAAGCTTTCCAAGAGTTCCAACTGAAACTCCGGTAGAAAACTTAGAAAATTCAAGTGAGCAAAGAGAAGAAAATGAAAGCCACCTGTTCTCTACTGTCCATCGATTTCCTTTAAAATCATACAGGATGATATTGTGAAAGTTGCCTTTTTAACCTGTTATTTTCCCTCAACTATATTGTCGGCAATATTTTCCATGTCACTACATACTCTTTTACAACAAAATTAATGGCTGCATGGTATTCAGGCATTTGTCTGCGTCAGGCATCGGCAAACCTGGCCCCCCAGAGCTCAAGAGCCAAGAATGGTATTTACATTTTTATATAGATGGAAAAAAATTTAAAAGGGTAATATTTTGTGATACGTGAAAATTACATGAAATTCAGAATTTGGTGGCCTGGTTTTATTGGAACACAGACACACTTGTTAGTTCACGTTCTCTAAGTCCGCCCTCCTGCTCTGGTGTTATGGCAGAGACCACGTGACTAACAAAGCCGAAAATCTCCCTGGCTCTTTACAGACAGATTGCTGATCCCTGATTTCTACCATAGTTGATATAAGCAGCCCTATTTCTTTCTTTCTTTTTTTTTTTTGGCCACACTGCATGTGGGATCTTAGTTCCCTGACCAGGGACCGAACCTGCACCCCCTGCAGTGGAAGCAGGCAGTCTTAACCACTGGACCACCAGAGAAGTCCCAAGCAGCCCTATTTCTATACACAGATACACAAGCTGTCTCCAGCTGTCTGTGTAGTGGGTTGAACAGTGGACTCCAAAAAAGTATCTGCAAGAGACCTTACTTGGAAAAAGGTCTTTGCAGGTGTAACTGAGATCATCTTGGATTCAGGGTGGGCCCTAAATCCAGGGACAGGTGTCCGTAAAAGGAGAGGGAGCTCTGAGATATAGAGATACACTGTGTGAGAAGGTCATGTGAAGACACAGCAGGTATGGGAGTGACGCAGCCACAGCCAAGGACGCCTGGAGCCCCCAAAACTGAAAGGGGCAGGAAGGAGCCTCCCCCAGAGCCTCTGGCAGGAGCAAGGGCCTGCCCACACCGATTTTAGACTTCTGGCCTCCAGACTGAGAGAGAATGCATTTCCCTTGTTTTAAGCACCCCCCACACCCCCCCACACCCCCTGGCAACTCCCCCTCTTGTGGTAATTTGTTACATCAGCCTCAAGACACTGGGTCAGTCTGCTATTGTGAATGGCTCATTTGTGAATTGCTTGAGAACCTCCTGTCTCACCAGAAGCTCCAGGCTGAGGAGGGGACGGGGCTCTCTACTTGCCCACCGGTACCCACAGCTGTTGCCCCCCTGCCACGCCCCTCACCTGGAATGGCCATCCACCGGGCCATCACCGAGAGCGCTGTGCTCAGCACCTGGTCCTCAGGCACCACCTGGTCCACCAGGCCCACCTGGAGGGCCTCTGCTGGCAGGAAGAGCAACCCCAGCTGCAGGGCCTGCTCTGAGGCACGGTGCCCAATGGTGTTCACAAGGGTGTCTTTGAACCTGGAAGCAGACACCCACTCAGGGTGGGCTCAGGGCTCCCAGGGGATGGGGGTCAGGGAGGTGGGCTCAGCCCCGGGTCTGGTGGAGTGTGGGTGCATCCCCCAGCCTTACCAGAAGGGGGCGACGATGCCCAGCAGGGTCTCGTTCAGCCCAATGAGGTACTTGGGGTTGTCAGCCAGGATCCGGTAGTCGCAGGTGAGGGAGATAAGGCAGCCTCCGGCCGGGCAGGCTCCCTGCAGGGGAAGCAGGACCAACGGGCTCTGGATGCTGCTGTGGCTGGTTCCGGTCATCTTCCAGAGAGCCAGGGTCCCAAGGAAGGGCCTCAGGTGGCCGTGAGCTCTTGGATGCCTCCAGCCTCCAGGATGCTGTACCAACACTGTCTGGGGGTGTGCGCACAATGGGCTCCGGCTTACCCATCAGCCTGAGGCTGCGGGCACTGGTAGGGTGGCCAGCGCTCAGGCCCAGAACACCCCCTCTTTTCTCACGCTCATGTCAGGGCAGCAAGCAGCCTCTCCTCTCCTCCAGCAGGAGGTCCTCCGAGGCCCGACCTCACCCTGCCCTCATCTCACACATCCATTGCCCCAGAGGCCGTCAGCGGCCACCACACCCCATGGAGTCTTCCTGACTCTGGCCATCCCTCCTCTCCACCCAGCTCAGGCCCTCCCGGCACCTCTCTGGCCTTAGCCCCACCCCTGCCTTCCCTAGGTTAGGCCAAAGTGATGTTCCCAAAATGTAGATCTGATCCCCCACTTGCCCCCATTCTCATAACCCTCCTGCTGGACCACGTCGACCATGGGCCCTGACTCCTGCCCCCACATTCACCCCCACCTCAGTGAGCAAGTCCCCCCCAGCCCCACCCCTAGGCCCCCCCCTTCACCTGGTCTGTAATGGCAAGCTGACCTGTGCACCTCTGAGGGTCTCCCGACTGCCCCCTTCCTCTCCGAGGGCTTCTTGAGGGCAGGGCCACATCCACCCCCGCCCTAAGGGCTGGCCTGCAGCGAGCCACAGAGGCCCCTTGGCAGCGGGGGGGAGGTGGGCTCAGCCCCGGGTCTGGTGGAGTGTGGGTGCATCCCCCAGCCTTACCAGAAGGGGGCGACGATGCCCAGCAGGGTCTCGTTCAGCCCAATGAGGTACTTGGGGTTGTCAGCCAGGATCCGGTAGTCGCAGGTGAGGGAGATAAGGCAGCCTCCGGCCGGGCAGGCTCCCTGCAGGGGAAGCAGGACCAACGGGCTCTGGATGCTGCTGTGGCTGGTTCCGGTCATCTTCCAGAGAGCCAGGGTCCCAAGGAAGGGCCTCAGGTGGCCGTGAGCTCTTGGATGCCTCCAGCCTCCAGGATGCTGTACCAACACTGTCTGGGGGTGTGCGCACAATGGGCTCCGGCTTACCCATCAGCCTGAGGCTGCGGGCACTGGTAGGGTGGCCAGCGCTCAGGCCCAGAACACCCCCTCTTTTCTCACGCTCATGTCAGGGCAGCAAGCAGCCTCTCCTCTCCTCCAGCAGGAGGTCCTCCGAGGCCCGACCTCACCCTGCCCTCATCTCACACATCCATTGCCCCAGAGGCCGTCAGCGGCCACCACACCCCATGGAGTCTTCCTGACTCTGGCCATCCCTCCTCTCCACCCAGCTCAGGCCCTCCCGGCACCTCTCTGGCCTTAGCCCCACCCCTGCCTTCCCTAGGTTAGGCCAAAGTGATGTTCCCAAAATGTAGATCTGATCCCCCACTTGCCCCCATTCTCATAACCCTCCTGCTGGACCACGTCGACCATGGGCCCTGACTCCTGCCCCCACATTCCCCCCCACCTCAGTGAGCAAGTCCCCCCCAGCCCCACCCCTAGGCCCCCCCCTTCACCTGGTCTGTAATGGCAAGCTGACCTGTGCACCTCTGAGGGTCTCCCGACTGCCCCCTTCCTCTCCGAGGGCTTCTTGAGGGCAGGGCCACATCCACCCCCGCCCTAAGGGCTGGCCTGCAGCGAGCCACAGAGGCCCCTTGGCAGCGGGGACACTCACGTTGATGGCGGCGATCAGTACCAGGTTGGATAGGTACAGCCGCAGCCACAGCTCCTGCACCGCCTTCCAGTACTCGGCGTAGTGGGCTGGGTTCTTCCCGCACATCTCCGTCAGGTCCAGGCCTGCGGAGAAGACCCTGGGGCAGTCCTGGGGAGGTTGGGGGGGCAGGGGCCCCGTCAGAGTCTGCCCCACAGTGCCAACACAGCCTCAGGGCCCAGGGAGCCCACAGGTGCTCAAGGGACAGAGGAACTGAGGTCATGCTCGGGCAGCACGATGCTGCCCCCAGGAGCCCAGAGCTGGGGGCTCCAGGGAGGCAGCCTGGACCTCCCTTGGACTCTGTTCCTTCTGCATCGTGGGATATTCTTCCCTTTCCAGCTTCAAACTGGAAGAAAAGGCAGCAGAGCTAGGTGCTCCCCCAGGGACATAAACACACTGGACTCTGTGCATACCTCTGTACTCATCCCGGGGAGAGGAACTCAGAGGCGGGGGAGGACTCCTGACAGTCAGAGGGGACACACATTCTGATGTACCCCAAAAGCAAACTGCAGACTCCAGTGCAGGCCAGAAGGTGCAGCTGTCAGGACCCGGCCAGGGAAGGAGGGAGTGGTGAGCAGTCAAGAAGACAGACCTCAGGACTCCCCTGGTGGTCCAATGGTTAAGAATCTGCCTTCCAGTGCAGGGGATGTGGGTTTGATCCCTGGTCGGGGAACTAAGATCCCACAGGCCGCAGGCAACTAAGCCCGTGCACTGCAACGAAAGATCCCGTGTGCTGCAACTAAGACTCGACGCAGCCAAAAGTAAATAAATAAAATAAAATGGTTTCTGTTTTTTTTTTAAAAAAAAAAGATGGACCAACTTATGTCATGGCTGCAGTCTGGTCATCATGCAGTTAGCTTTTTTTAAAAAAAAGAAGACAGACCTCTGCCCTGGGCTGTCACATGTGAGACAGAAGCCGGGGGAAGGATCTGTAAGGCATGTGTGTCTTGTGTGGACGCCCCAGGCCCCAACACAGCCGCTGAAGTGGGGGTGGGGAGCGCAGACCAAGGCAGAAGGTGCTTCTGGGCATGGGCACCAGGTTCTGGGTGCTCCGTCAAGAATGCAGGCCAGGGGAGGGGCAGCTCCCCAGCCCTCACCCGAGAACACCGCACCTGGGGTTGCTGATCACTAACCAGCACTGGCCGCGGTCACCATGTGCTGCTGCAGCAACGACCGAACCCCCTCCCCTGCCTGCAGTGTCTGTGAGGAGGGGCAGCCACACTCGAAGTCCTCTACATCCTTATATTAAGCGACAAAAGCAAGTTGCAGTGCAGGGCATAGATGCGGCCCCGTGTTTCTCATATACACACGTGCCTGTGTGTGCACTGATACCAGCAGGCTGGCCTTTTGTTTACGTGGAACGTGTTCCACTCCTGTCACTAAAAAGGCCCCACAGGGATGGGAAGACTGGTGGTCGGTACACCACGTCCTGCTGTCTCACAGGTCCTGCTGTCTCACAGGCTGGAGCAGGGACCCCTGAGCCAGCGACTGTTGGGGGTGGGGGGTGGAACGGCAGGGGGATGGAGCTGCTCCTGCTCTGAAGATGTGGCAGGACTGATATTCAGCTTTTCAGCCTTCCTCCTTAATCTCTTCCCACCATGAGCTCCTGGCTCCCCCCTCCTCACTGCCTCCCCAGTTCATTTTCTCAGCACAGAAGCTGGAGAGGCTGAAAGCACTTGCCCACAGTCCTGGCGCTGGAGGGAAGCAAAGGCAAAGAACTCTATTCTGGATGCAAGAGAAGCGAACACATTAATCCCAGGTGGGGATGGCCTCTGCCAGACAGATGAAAACAGATGTGGGTTGGCCTATTTCCGTGATTTCTGTGATTCAGCAACGTGTCTGTAGTGGGCCGAACTATGTTCCCGAAGAATACAAGGTCAAGTCCTCACCCCAGTACCCGAGAATGTGACCTTATTCAGAAATAGCGTCTTTGCAGATGAGATCAAGTTAAGATGAGGCCATACCGGAGTATGGAGGTCCTAAATCCTTTGACTGGTGTCCTTCTGAGGAGGATTCAGACACAGAGACAGGGCAGACGGCCACGTGGAGACAAGTACAGGAACCCAGGGGCCCCCCGAAGCTGGCAGAAGCAAAGGATTCTCCCCCACGGCCTCTAGATGTGATTGGCCCTGTGACACCTTGCTTTTGAACCTGTGGCCTCCAGACCGTGAGGGAATACATTTCTGTTGTTCTGCCCCAATGCTCCCCGTTGGTGGTCCTTCGTTAAGGTGGCCCCAACTAACACAAGTCCTTCCAAAACATTTGCTGAGGACCCACTTTGGGCCAGGCCTTGTGCTACGTATACAGGAGGAACTTGATACAGAACACGAGGCGCAGACACATTGCTGGAGGGGAGGACACTGTCACAAGAACGCAGGCTCCGGAGGGACAAATGCTGGCTCCCTGTCCCCAGAGCACAGGGGCTGGGGGCCTGGACAAGCGACAGGTCTTCCCCTCTTTCGTTCTAAAGGTCCTATCTCTGGTGACACACAATACTCTCATTTTCAGAGCATAATAAAGAAAATGTCAAGCTATGAAATGACACCTTAAATGGAGTATTTTCAGGAATTATCCAGGGTGAAAAGTTCCTAGGCAATTTCAGCATCTCTAGGCAGGTTAGAAAGTTCCCTCAAATGATCTACACCCAGTATCAGTCCTACCCTTGGAGCAATAAGGTCATCTCACTCCCATGGGATGGGGCAAGGCTTGGCTCTGCAAACCCCAGCTTCACGGGACGCACTGTGTGCGTGCATCAGGCCAGCCCCTGAGGGTTCCCTGCTGGTCCGTGCCTCCAGCTCAGTGATGGGTCCCCTCGTCAGAGGCAGCCAGGCTCTCCAGAGCTGCAACTCCAGGCCACCCCAGGAGTGGGGTTTTAAGGGTTAAACCTGAGGGTTTAAGGAAGCAGGTGCGAGCCCACAGTGGACCTTCCAAACCTTGGCCTAAAAGGTGCAGGAAGCAGGCTGTGACCGTCTGCTTCCTGTACCTTTAATGATGGCAGGGCCAAGGTGTTCCCAATGGTCTCTAGTATCGTGGCACTTAGCTTTGGGGGACACTCATGCTGTCTGTGGCTCCAACTTGAAAGGTGACCCCAGTGCTCTTCCTGACCCAACAAAGTCCTGTTGATACCAGCATTTGCTGGCTTGTAGGGGAAATGCTGCCATTCCCATTCCCCTCGAGAATTCAGAAGGGAAAAGCCTGCCCTCTGATACCTCAACTCTAGGACCTGCCCAGACGGGAATGGAGGGCACAGCTTTTGGGATGAGCACCGTCACTGGGGCCGGCCTGGGTGGGTCCCCAGGAAGCTGTTGCCAAGTTTGCACAGGGTCCACCCTTTGTGAGGTCGCATGGCCTCAAGGGTATCCTGCAGAAACGTCACCTGCCCTCACCTACATCCTGGCACCTGGGCGTGGAGGGCCGAGGCTTGCCCCAGGTCTGGCTCCACAACCGCATGACCTGGGAGATGGCCTGGGAACTAAGGATCAGCCTCCTGCAGGAGAACCAGCTGCCCATGGTACGGCCCCCTCGAGCCCCCACACCCAGGACAACCCCTGAAAGCCTTTGTGGTGGCACCCACACCTGGGTGGAGCTAAGGAGCACCCACCGAAGTCAGGATGACGCCTCGGAAGGTCTTGTCATTCTCCAGCTTCTCCAGGCTGATAATGAACTCTGTCAGCAGCTCTAGGCTGAGGCTGTTCACTGGGGGGTTCTTGAACTTCATCACGGCGACCCCTAGTTTGAAAATGAAAAGGACAAAACTCATACCCAGCATGGGAAAGGTACCCCCAACTACCCTGCACCCTCAACCAGGCCATGGGAAGCTACACAGATTTTCGGTTTTTTAAATTGAGGTGAGATTCATATACCTTATAAGAAAGGGAACCCTGTACCCATCAGCAGTTACCATTCCTCCTGTTCCAGCCCCTGGCAATCAGTAATCTCCTTCCTGTTCCTATGGATTTGCCAATTGTGGACATTTCATATAAGTGGAATCATATGTGACCTTTTGTGTCTGTCTTCATTTACTGTTTTCAAGGTTCATTTATGTAGTAGCATGTGTCAGTGCTTCATTCCTCCTTAAGATCAAATAACGTTCCATTAACTGTGTACAGCATGTTTTGCTTATCCATTCATCTGCTGATGGACACTTGGGTTAGTTCCACCTTTTGGCCATTGTAATACTGCTGTGAACATTCATGTACAAATTTTTGTTGATCTTTTTCTCCCAGATATAAGTCCTACATCCTCAGGGGAGTAAGAAATGGCCTTAGTTTCTTGAGTAAGTGAGCAAACACTAAGAACCAGATGTGCAAGGAGGAACTCCAGTGGGGGCCTCTGGTTCATGCTTGTTTAAGGATTGAGAGTAAGAATATCAGGGGTCAGATGTTCTTAAACACTCCATCTATTCATTTATACTGCCAGCAGCAGGGAAAGCAGGAGTGGCAGGGCCTGCCCTTGTGGACAGTGCAGCTGCTGGCCTGGGCCAGCTGGGGCCATCTGTTCTCACTGCCTGGCCCAAGGGCAGACCCCAAGGGCTTTAGAAATGCCACTGTTCACTTAGGGTACATTTCCCTGGTCAAGGCCTTGGAAATCTCTGGATAGTCAACACAAACCATTCTCTAGGAATGAGAATTAAGTCCTGAAGGCAAGGAGACTCTTTTGAGACCTATGATTTATGAGGAAGAGGTAATTATTAACTGGCTACAGGTATGTACATGTACACATAAGAAGCAATCAAAACTTTCAGAAGAGAGCTCCCCAAACTTGATTCGGAGGTAAGTTTCTTTTTTCTTTTTTTAAAATTTATTTATTTTATTTTTGGCAGCATTGGGTCTTTGTTGCTGCGCGCAGGCTCTTCTCTAGTTGTGGCGAGCAGGGGCTACTCTTTGTTGCGGGGGGTGGGCTTCTCATTGCGGTGGCTTCTCTTGTTGTGGAGCACAGGCTCTAGGCACATGGGCTTCAGTAGTTGTGGCACATGGGCTCTAGAGCACAGGCTCAGAGTAGTTGTGGCACACAGGTTTAGTTGCTCCACAGCATGTGGGATCTTCCCAGACCAGGGATTGAACCCGTGTCCCCAGCATTGGCAGGCAGATGCTTAACCACTGAGTCACCAGGGAAGTCTCAAATGAAAACATTTAAAAAAGTACTTTTATTCCATTAATTCCTCCAAGCCTCAAGATGCCTGAAGGTTACCCAGGTCTGGCAGTGAGGACAGAACCAAGCCTGGCTTTCTGACCTCAAACTCAACCTTCTACCACGATAAGCCGGTGAAGCTAGCGAGTTCTTCCATGGTGGGGTGGGAAAGCACTTTGGCAAAAAATTGTCTCACTGATAATTTTTTTCTTACTTGTTTACATAAAAGAAAGTCTACCATTCAAACCATTTTTAAGTGTACAATTAAGTGGTATTAAGTATATTCACAATCTTGTGCAACCACCACCACCTACTCCAATACTTTAAAAAATGTGTTTTATTCAAGTTTTGGTATATATTCAAATCTGTCACAGAAACGATCCTTTCAGAAACTAAGGTTTTTGTTGGACTCATAGTTGGGCTCCTCATCACCTGGCTCGGGCAGCCCGCAACCCAGAGAGGAGCTAAACTAGAGAACTGAACCAAGGAACACGGTGGGTGCCCTGACAGCAGTCCAGGCACAGGCAGCGATGCACAACCTGTGTGTGTCTGGGGGGCTCAGGGGGGCTGAGACTGTAGCCCCATTTGGGGAGGAGCTTGGCTCCCTGCCAAGCCAGAGTGGACTGGGGATGGGAGGCATCTTGAAAGGCTGAGGCCAGGAGCTGGGAGGTCATGAGACAGCTTGTCCTAAAATCTGACACTGCACGTCTCCGATGTCAAGCCTGCTCAGGACCCAGCTCTGAAGTGCCCTCTGGTAGAGAAAGCACTGGTTTCTCTTTCAAAAGTGCTTTTTCTATATTTTAAAAATCCCCCTTGGAGACTTTTAGGAGGTGTTCTGATGGGAGTGGGTAGGAGTGATTTCACTTGTGGCTCCTGGCTTTAATTAAAAAAATATCTGCTGGGTTCTGTGCCACTTGGGAGTATTAAGAAAAATTAAAATATTTTATTCTGAAATACTTCCAATTATTTTAGTTCCCAATTTAACAGCTAAGGAGCACATGCCCCAAACTTTAAAAACTGAAATATTTTTATCTTCATAATGAACTGGGGGGCGAAAACACCTAGACTGATGACCCTTAAGCTTTTAACTCAACAGAAACTGCCTTTAAAATTGGGCTTTATCCCGTGGCCTTTAGAAATTCGAGCGTTCTCCCGAGTCTGGATTCCAGGTCTGGGCCTGGAGCTGGGGGAGATCAAACGCACTACCCAGTGAAGCCCGCTCTGCTGCCAGCGCCCCCCTCTTTCCCCACAGCCGGGCGGCCGGGCGCTCGGGAGAACGCGCTCCGGGCGCTTACCTGCGGCTGCGTCCGGCTCCACCAGCACCCGCTGGGTCCCGAAGCGCCGCGCGCTGTCCCCGCTGCCGGCCGCCGGCTCCGTCCGCCTGATGGTCGTGCCCCGGAGCAAGGCCCCTGCGGAGGGCAGCGCGAGGCCCGTTAGCCTGCCGCGCTCCTGCCCGTCCCCCTCCCCAAGCTCCTGCCCAACCCGGCCCCCGCCCCGGGTCACGCACACGGGCGGAGCAGGGCACGCGACGAGACGCGCGTTCCTGCCGCCAGCGCCATCTTGACCGCGCTGGGTCGGGGTCGCGGCGCCGGGGTGTGGCCTTGCCGCCCGCCCCGCCCCCAGGGCCTAGGCCTCTCCTCCGGGAGGCAGAGACTGCACCCGGCCAAGGCCGCGGTCGGAGGCCCGAGCGGGCTTAGCTGAGCAGGACGCTGGGGCTGCGGGGTGAAGGGTCGCCGATAGGGAAGCCCGGACAGGGCAGACGCCGCGCTCCCCACGACCCGCAGCTGCGCCACCACGCAAAGATCGAGCCGCCCAGGCCTGGGACCACACGTAAGTCACGGAGTGTGCGAGTCCCGGAGAGGGTTGTGAGCTGAGTGGTAGTCAGGGACTGTGGGGACCCCGGCAGCTTGCGGCCCTGCAGAGCCGCCAGCAGAGCTGTGGGCACTGGAAAGGATGCTAGAAGGGGTGCTGATGGGGGCCAGTGTGAACTCCGCCTCCTGCCTGTGAGGGGGGACCAGGAATCACAGCTGGTGGTTTAGCCACAGGCATGGGGCAGCATAGCCTGGTGACTAAGAACTGACTCTTCACCTTCCCCAAGGGGTGAGGTGCCCTCACACCACTGTGGGACTGCAGTGCTCCCCACAAGGAAGGGGAAGGAGACATCTCGTGTTTGTATTTACTTGATCCTGCCTGAACACTGTTCTGACCATTCAGTTTGAACACTGGACACAGTAAGCACCAAGGGTCAAGTACGGGGCGGGGGGGGCACGCAACTGAGACTTGTTTTTGTAACATCCTAAGTGTTTTCAATTGTTCCTTGTGGAACAAACCAGTTTTTGAGGTGGAAAATAGTTTTTCCATGGCCACGTAAAATAGCAGCAGCAAATGAAATCCACATTTCTGGTCAGGCAGAATTCAAAGCTCCTGTAATATAAAGGTGATAAAACACCTTTCTGGGACTTCCCTGGTGGTCCAGTGGTTAAGACTCAGCACTCCCAGTGCAGGGGGCGGAGGTTTGATCCCTGATTAGGGAACTAATAAGATCCTGCATGCTGCATGGCGTGGCCAAAAAAGAAAAACAAAAAACACCTCTTTCTAAAATGTGTCTAGCCAAGGAGCAGCCCAACACTCATAAACACTTCCAGTGTTTTTCTGGTTGAGAGGTTTTGGAGCTGTGACTTTGGGAATGAAACCAAAACATTTTTTAGACAATCATGTTTAATTACCTCACAACTGAAGCTGCCTTTGGGGCCAAGGGACAGGAAGGAGGCAGCAAACCCAACACTTGAGCTGCACTCTAATCCTACGTTTATTCAACACAATTATTTTCTCTACACAACAAAGTACAAACATAATATTATCTAAAATGCTACAAAGTTACAAAACTCAAAACAGAAAATGTATAGTACTGACTGTACAATAAAAGCCAAAAAAGCAATGTACACGTTGCCAAAGTAACCTGCACGACCACCATGAATACCAACACAACGCGGGGTTCTGTGATGACCGGAAAGAGCTAGCTCTCAACTTACCAGTTTCAGAGAGAAAGGGAGCCGTGGGTTTGTCTGTGTGTGTGCATGCACGCACATGAGTACACGTGGAAAGAACCATTTTGGGTATTTGGCCCTAGAGGTCAGAAGAGGACTCAAGCAGGGGAGCAGGGCCAGGCTAACAGGAATGGTAGCTGCGTAAAAGCACACCCTTTCCTGTGGGACCCTGCAGGCCAACAGGTTAGGGCACGACCGGCCCACCAGATGGACCCCACGTCATCTGTGGAATGGGAAAACATGCTCCCAGGCTGGGGCTGTACCACCGCCTGGAGCCCCCTGCTCATCCCTGCTGGCTTTGCCACTAAACTGACTCTCAGGAACTAGAAATGTGGAAGCTTTCTAGCCAGAAAACTGGAGGGCATCATTATAAGCACGACCCCAAACCAACAACACTCCTGCAGCCGGAACTCTGCCGCCAGGGGAAATGTAGCAATTACTGCCTTCACCTTCGAAGCCTGCCCCTGAGTGAGGGATTTCTTTCCTACCGATCCTCCTTCTGCAAAGTGACAAAAGTGAGTTGGATGGGATACAAGTCACAGGGCAGAGCTTCGGTGGCCCTGCTTATCGGGAGGAGTTGGAGCTAGAGCGGCTCCTGTGGCGGCGGCGGCCAGGGGAGCGGGATCGCCTGCGCACGGGGGACCTGCGCCGAGGCGAACGTGACCTGTGGGAAGAGGAGAAACCATATCAGAGACGAAACCCACGCCCCGGGAGCAGCTCCGCATCTGGGATGACAGGGGTAAAGCTGCCTTCTTTCGGGAACAATTCTACACAGCTTCACACTCCAACACTCCAGTCAGGACAGCTCCCTTTGGATGTCACTGACACAGAACCCCTGGGAGACACACAAATGTTCTGGAGACCAAAGGCACGACCCCAGGCACTCTCCTCTTCTTCGAGGGCTGTGCAAAGTGCAGCCTGACACCACTAGCAGAGGACAGCCTGACACTGGCCTCTGCCAAGGGTGTTGTTAGCCTCTCCCCTATTCCTCTGACCCTTCCGGTTTTCTCATGGAGGGAGGGGAGGGGCCACACCTCCCGAGGGTCCCTCAATCAGGCAGCTAGCTCTTCCTTTCCCTAGCTGGAAAGAACATGATGAGCTCTGAAGGCTGCCTATGCCAATGCTGCTTTCCCACCCCCATCATGAGGCACAGGGGACAGGCAGGGCTGGACAAAGTCCCAAAGTCATCATCCTAACTTTATGTTTGTAAATAAGATAAACGGAAACTGGCCCTAATCAGTCCCCTGTGAGACCCCGAAGTGATTCACCTTCTCCTCATCCGTGGGGGTGATCTGCGCCACATGGGAGGTGGTGGCAGCATTCTCCTGGGAGGGCTGAATCGCCTGGGGGGTGGCCGAGGCCAGGGGGCCAGCACAGCAGTGGCAGTGATCTCCTGGCCATCAATTTGTCCTGTTGAAAAAAGGATAAAGTCACAAAATATCTAACAAGCACCTACCCTGGGCCAGGCCCAATGCCAGCTATGGGCATACCATGGTGAGTGAGACAGAGAGGAGCCTGGGGGACAAGGACAAACTACTCTGGTCACAGAAAGAACCTCATAATTACTGTTATTGGAGGTTTCATAAAGAAAACTACCAGGAAGCAGGGAACCTAATGGGGGACTCATCTTAGTGCATTGGGACAGCCTTCCACGGGAAGCACCATCCAAGTCAACACCTAAAGAACAGCCTGGAATTTGCTAAGTGAGGGGAAGAGCTATGCTCCCGCCCTGAGCTGGAAGGTGGTGTTGCACTTGAACTTCCTTCTTAAGAGCAATGTGAAGGGGGCACTGCAGTGAGGAGACCTGGCAGGGGGCTTTGGCAGGACTGAGATGGGGGTGAAACGTAAGAACTCAAGGGATAATGGGGAGGTATAGTCACCAGAGCTTGGTGATGGATCAGGTGAGCAAGCCCAGGGGTGGGGTGAAGGATGATCAGCACCAGGGTTTTGGATGATCTGTGATCTCTCCTGAGAGGTGGGGCCTGAGAGGAAGAAGGGACTTCTGGGGTGGGGAACAAAATGAAAGGATGTTCAGGAGTTGTCAAGTCTGTCTAAAGAGTTTGAAAAAAGTGCCTCAGGGAGTTGAGTCCACGTGCAGCAAGTACTAAAACCACGTGTGAATGAAATCGTAGAATGGCAAGGGGAGGCAGCTCAGAATGGAGGCAGAAGGAAACTGCAGGACCTCAGGGAAAGAAAGAGCAAAGGAAACTGAGGCACAGACCCAAGAATCCCAGGGGATAAGGCACCCCGATCCAGTCCAGGGACTGCTCAGGGGACCAAGCACAGCCCGTGTACCTGCAAAGGGTGGAGGGTCTTCTATCTTCTCAGCTCCTACTTTCAAGGGAACTTCTGAGGTACTAAGGTGACTCAGGAATTTGGACCTAGTTCACAACATACTTGAAAGGCTCAATTTAAGTAATAAACAAGGTTTAAGGTGGCCCTGGCCTATGGCCAAAAGCCAGTCCAAATCAGGGATTTCACAGGCACTGACTATGTAACAACAGAGGCAAAGTCATCCTCTGGCTAGCTACCAGTAAAGGCCAAGCCCCCCCGCCACTTTCTTTCTGGAGAGTGTGGAGCTGTTCCATTCAGTGGTGCACAGCACAATACGGGGACACACAGGAAAGTCCTACCAGAATCTTAAGAAAACGTGGAATATTTATAATCACACACATCCTGAATGTGCCCAAGTCTCCCAAATTTTTAGCAAGTGCTCAGACTCTATCAAATACACAAGATCGACAGTCTCTAAAACAAAGGTGTGACTCAACAAAGCCAAGAGCTGATGTGTGCAGAGGGATGGATCATAGTTTATGCTTAACTCATAAAACACTCCAGAGGGATTTAAGTAGATTCAAAGAGTTGTACCTCAGTACCAAGGAAAATTTTGTAGTATACAAACTCTACCAGAGCTCAAGGGCCAAAGACTGTGAGGCTATTTATCAAATGTATAAGAGGGCCTCCAAGGATGCCAAGATTGTAAAGGGTTCAGACTCTCCTTCCCACTTGGCCTGGCAGCCCACACAGTGCTGTGGGCAGTCCTGGCTCAGCTCCAGCTGCCTAGAGTACAGCAGCAGTGAGCTGGGGCACAGACAAATCCCATATTCCTTCAAATGCAGACTATTCAAAATTTGAAGCTATTCACAAGCGTTCAAAGGTTGACAAATCATTCTACCCAATAAAAAGTGGCTATGGGAAATGGGTAAAATTTGTGAATTCAGTGAAGTTATCCTAAAAATGCTGAAATGTTAGCAAAAGACAAAATGAGTCAGGACTTCCCTAGTGGCACAGTGGTTAAGAATCTGCCTGCCAATGCAGGGGACACGGATTTGAGCCTTGGTCCAGGAAGATCCCACATGCTGCAGAGCAACTAAGCCCATGTGCCACAACTACTGAGCCTGCGCTCTAGAGCCTGCGAGTCACCACTACTGAGCCCGTGCTCCGCAACAAGAGAAGCCAACGCAATGAGAAGCCCATGCAAAGCAATGAAGACCCAATGCAGCCAAAAAAAAAGAAAAGAGAGAGAGACAGAGAATGACTCAGGATTAAAGAAAACATTTCCATATAAAAATGATGCGCTGTTATATTCATAATATACTCCTTGTGGGAGGGGGAAAACCATTCATTTGATCCTCAAACTTTGATTGATATTCATATTTGATGAATTTTTTTCAAGAACCATGCTCCACAAAACATGTTTTTGGTAAACACACACCCACTGAGTAAGAACTGGAATCTTGAAAGAGCTCCAGGGAGATTCTTACATGCAGCCAGGTTGAAAGTCGGTTTTAAACACACTATGAGTGGTGGGTAGCTGGTCGTGGACAGGGGACAAAGAAACAGCGGTTCAGAG